TTAAACACATTCCTCTGTTATGAAGAACATGGCTTGCTTCCAAGAATTGCTTGGCAATTTTGTCAAGAAAAATCTGTCACTGTTGGGGGGTTTTAGAGCACAGCCACAGCCCTTGGTGACCCTGGCACCGCCTTTTGTTGTCCTGGAATTTTTCTGTGGTAGGGCTGTAATTTATTACAAGATGCTAAAATATAGCGGTGCTTAATTTCCAGAAGGAGGTGTAGAAAAAAGGGGGCGTAGCCTAGAGGAAAGCCATAGAAACAATCAAACACTGAAAAGCAAGACTTGAGGAACAAAAATGAAAATAGAAAGAAATGTGTACATTTTATTTGTAAGAAAGGATGGAGGTGGGACACCCAGGATGAGTCCACTTAGCGACAAGTTTGTATATTGGAGGCAGGTAAAAAGAGGTAGGACATATACTTTAAACATGGGAAAAGTATTGAAACTTGGGAAACTGCCTTCGTTTGCTGTTTCTGTCTAACCTGAATTATCCTTGCAATGATTTGAGCTTAGTTGCAGTAGTTAAAACTGTGGAATTGTTTAACAGGCACGTTGCAGTTTCTCCATTGCTGGTAGTTTTAAAGAAAATACTAAGCTGAGCATGTTTAAGATAGAACTGACTCTGTTCTGGGATCTCTCCCTACTCTTTTCCGTGATGGAACCTCCACCCAATATGGGAAATATGGAAATATGTCTTCTGTCTCTATGGGGAACATAGAGTCTTGTCTACTGTGTGTGAATAAGACACATATATCAACCTACACAAAAGCTGTCTTCTGAAGCCTAAAGATTACTAGACTGAGATCTGCTGCTGAGCTGGAGAGAAAATTTTAAGACTGTTCTTGAAAGTCAGCACTGTATATAGATTGTGGCAGCTGGATATAAATATTGTTTATAATGTGATGATATGGACTTCCTCTGCTAGAAACCTTACTATAGAAACTTCAACTTTTTTTAAAGGTGAATTGCAGAATTTGATTTTCCTTCACGTCCCAAGTATCTTTTAATGCCTTTTACAGACTGCAGGTTTCACAAAACGTTTCCTTTAAGCTATGCAAGTATGTGTAAATAATTGTATAAACACATGCATAAATAATTGCATTGATTTACAAAAAATAGTTATAGATGTGTTTCAATTCTTGTCTCTTTGTTTCTGGATGACATTTTTAAAAGATGCAGGACCAAAGGACTTTCAGAATAGTCCTGCAATGATGTTAATAGGGAATACACTGCACTAAGCATCACAGCCTGCAGAGTAAGAACCCAGTTTTGTTTTTTTTTTCTACGTCATTTGTTTTCATATACTTCCAAGGAAACAAAAGCACACAGTGTGTTGTCCTTTAACATTGTTATGGGCTAATTCCAGTGAAATGTATCCTTCTCTTTTCTAAACTCCCTATCAGCGCAGCTTTTGAAAAATGGAAAGCTTTTCTGTATTTTGTTTATAGGGACACAGGATTCAAATTTACCAGTTTCCTTCCCTTTCATTTAATCGAAAGTTCACAGCACTTGCCCCAGTTCCTTCCAAGAGCCTGGTATAAATACTTCTGTATACTGAAGAAACATCCAAGTGCTGCAGTCAAGAAGAGCAAATTGTTTTGAATCTTGCTTCCGCATCATGAGGGCTGGAATTTTTGATAATACAAAAGCAAATGCCCAAACTTGCCTACAGACAGCTGGTGCCTGGAGCATCTCATTCACTTGGCATAACCGTGTGCAGAATTGCTGCCTCGGAAGGGATCGGGTGCCAGACTTGCGTGCTTTCTGAGCTGTTCCATGACTAATCAAAGAAAACCACAAGTATTGAAAAACTACAGAAATCTCAATAACAGAAGTTTTACCTTGGGCTAGTTCAGCCAACGGAACTGTGTTTAATTAGACTTAAAAGTGTAAGGTAAAATAACTTAGCAAACTAATTTGATAAAACAGATTGTGTGTGTTTGCTGTTCAGACTGGAGATAAATCTTGAGAAATAATCATGGTTTGTGTCTGTGTAGCGTGAGGCTGTGCGGGATCAATCTTGTATTACTGGGTTATCTGATAGCTGGCAGATGCTGAATTCATGTTCATAAGTCCATGGCCTGGGTGTCTGTCTCGTGCCCACTGTTTCGTTGTGGTAACCTGCATCAGAAAAGGGATTTGGGATTTCAGGGACATTTAAGTGCTTTGTGCTTTTTGGGATGTTTAGGCAATTTAAATTATTTGTAATATAGCAAACCTTTGGTACTTGAAGAATTCTACCTGTAGTATTCTCTTTATTGGCAGAATAGTATATTCATGACAACTGGCTTTTAGGAAAAGATGCGTTTATTTAATGCTAGCATTATGTTCTTTTGCTCCTTTGTGGCTGCCATATGTAGATCAGTAGGGCAATAAAATTAGCACTTTTTTCAAAAAATAAAAAGAGAATCTTCTAGCATGTAGTGACAGAAGAAATACATTGTTACAATTCCACAATGTGATGCTCACTCTTTAGTTAGGCTTCTACTTTATGACTATCTAAAGCTAAAGTTCTTCATTTAGTGCTTGTTTTGGCTTGACTGAGTCTTAAGACTGCAGTCTCACATACGATTTTAACAAAAATAATCCTTGTCTCATCATTGGATGTGTAGGCTTAGGTCAACAGTTTAGTGTGAATGTATACACTGTCATAAATCTGGATGGTAAAAGTACACATCTAGTGAAATTCTATGGTGGTTTTTGTTGTAGGAGTAACACACAGTTTCCTTTCAGGATATACAGTTAGTAACTTGCTTGATCTTGTTTGGACATTTTAAAAATGAATGATAATTCATGGAAGATGATGTTTCTACTTCTAACTAGGCAGGAATTCAGATTTACCTTTGGGAAGGGGGCAGAAATCAGTAAAAAACCTGGGAAGCTGTCATCAAAAGGGTAAAGTCAGAAGCAAATGGATTAAAGTCTGTTTGAGTTGTGTTGGCACTTTTTCTTTTCGAGAAGGTCTTTTAAACTAACAGCTTGAGCTGCATAAACTTGAAATATTTCTCAAGTGTTTGTTTATGTGAATTGCTTTATAATGAGGTCATAGCTGTTTTCCCGGACACAGTGGTATTTCCTCCTCTTTTTTTTCTTTTTTTATACTGCTTTCTGCATTATGCCTTTAAGACAGAACAGACGTATAAAGCTTAAACATTGCTCAGGATACTTCCAAGTTTCAACTCTAATGTTTTAAATGACTTGAGGCTGGAGCTCAGTATAAACATATGTGAATTGAAATAATAGATTCCTTGAAACAATTTAGAGTTTTGAAGAAAACCTATAGCATTGTCAAGAGTAACTCAGTTGAAAAGATTTTAGCCCCCCAAAATAAGAGAAATGGAGTGGTGGAAAGGAATGTGCAAATGCTGAATTTTCATTTAAATATTTTTCATCTCCCATGTGAGATTGGGTACTAACCGAAAAAGAAAGATCACCTGACCACAAAATGGGGATAGTTTTCAGCCCTATGTGGCTAGGCATTACACATGTACGTAGTCTTTTCCTTGCATTCTACAGAAGTCAGCAACTTAGGCAACTGTCCTTCCTTTCCTTTGCTATGTGTATTTAAGATGTAATGAAATTTAATAGTTTTGTCTACAGTTTGGTAATGCTTTTAATTTTGACTATGCTGAAATAAATAGCTTCCTGTTTGGAAAACTCTTGGCTTTTCAGACTGCTAGATTAGTAACCTCCAAAAAAATTACATCTGTTTATTAGATACTGGGTTATTTCAGGTAGATGTTTCCAGGTATCTTGGTCTAGTGTTGCAGAAAGCCAAAAGTTTATTGTGAAGTGAGGAAGAGGGCAGAGGCTTAAGTCATTGAGTAATGTAATGATGAAATTGTGAAGTCATGATTTCTTTGTGACTAGATGTGGTGTATTATAGTTGAACATAAATTTGGAGTATTTCTTCTACAGTGTCTTGAGTCACAGTGATTCAGCCCTGGACTGTAGGGCTGCACAGCAGGGGGTGTGTGTCAGTCAGGCTGATGGAGAGGAATACTCTCTGCTGGCCATAGGTGATGGAGGAAACTTTGTACACGTAGGATAACTGCAAGGTCAAAAGCCCTAGAGAAGCCTTATGATGTATTCATGTTGTGTGGATCTACTTCATAATCTGGAACCAAACCTCTTCAGTATAAAAAAAATTTACTTTTTTTTTTTTAAAAAAAAGTAGTGGCTAGATCTGCAAACTGTTTCATTGTTCTAGTTAGTATCCTTTTTTATGGTTTGTTTGTTGTTGGGGAGTTTTATGTTAATGAGGTAAATAGGCAATGTCCTTCCCAAAACACTTAGGAATTTTCAGAGGCTTGTAGTTTCCCATAAAGTTTGTTTTTAATTATATGTTAGGGCTCTGCTGTAGGTGGAGGCATACAAGAAACCACATCTTGTGGTTCGGAAACACTGAAGTGATCACGTAAATATTTATTACAATTGAAGTTACTTTCTGTGAAAAGTATAGATGTAAGCTGACTAGTACAGCTCCAGGTTGCTTGAACTGAGCAGTACTCGGTTCTGCATAATAGATAGTGCAGTCACAAAATATATTTGTTGGGGTTTTTTAAAACATATCCCTATGGACTGGACAGCTTTCATGCAACTTACCCACCTGTGTACTGAGTCCTGCAGAAAGGAAGATTACTCATAAGAAACATCACAAACTGTCATCTTAAACCAGAAAAAATCTATTGTTTTCTGTGCTAAAATTTGAAGTAGCTGGTGGATCATACAGAATGAGAAATATTTTAACACCTATGAAGTATTACCAGTGTTGTAACCTTCCTTCAGTATTTTAGTTATTAAAATGGAGACTTTTCATCGGAAATAATTACTCTGAAAGTAACTTTAAATAGCAGTATATTTTCTTCAATTTTCTTCAAATCAAGTCTCTCATATCTGTTTTTGTTAGTAGGAATATGAGTTGAAAAATTTCCCATTTATCAATATCTGTAAAATACATTGGGGTTTTTTTGTGTGTGCGTTTGTGTTTCTTTCAGAAGTGAAGCCAACTTGCATATTTAACAGCATGGAATATTACGATGGAGACATGTTTCGGATGGATGCTTGTCGTTTTTGCCGATGCCAAGGGGGAGTCTCTATTTGTTTCTCGGCTCAGTGTGGTGAGCTGCACTGTGACAGGTACTATGTGCCAGAAGGAGAGTGCTGCCCAGTGTGTGAAGGTACAGTATCTTTTTAACCATTTGCTTATTAATTCTCCTGCTTTTTATTTGCTTTTTCAATGCAAATGAGGAAGCGAGTGCTTTATTTTGTTCTTCTGAAGTTTGCAGATTCCTCCTTAATTCGGTTGGTTCCTACATTTTTACTGTGTCTGAGTGTGCTGTGTTGTTCTTCGCGGTGCTTCTCTGACATTGATACTCTGCTCTTTTTATACAGAGCTGTTTGTGTTTCCCTTCTGCATCACAACTTCTTTAGACATGGTCAAGTGTGCACTACTTTTTTATTCGATAGTTATACCATATCATCATCCAATGTTAAAAGCTGATTTCTCCATTTTTGCAAACTTTGACTCACACTTACAAGAAAACCTGTTAACATTTCATTTTGGGTTTGATGAGTTAGCGTATATTAGGCCTGCAATGGGAATTTCTTATGAAGTCAGGTCCGTAGTAGTTAGAATGAAATGGATGCTATTTTATAATCATTGAGCACAATCTTCTTTTTCAAGTAATGGCTGTGATTTAATTTCTGGTCAGCTGACTGAGATACCAGCTCCTTTATCAAATCATCCAGTGCTGCTTGGCTTGCTTGTTTCTGTTGCATGCTTTTCTGACAGGGCTTGTAGCACTAAATCAATGAAGTCAGTTTTCTCACTTCTGAATGACTGGATGGTAAGATATATATTGGTTTTAACTATAAATCCTTCTTGATTTAATGGAATTCTAGGTGAGGCTAGACAACTGGCTCCGTTAATGTATTATAATTTTCTAATTCGTTTAAACACTTAAAAAGAAAAAAAAATCTGATACCTTAATAACTCAGGTTATGTTAGTGACACCTAAATTGACAAGATAAGTCTTTTAAATATGTACAAATGTATATAAATCACACAAGTGTATATGTATGTAAAAAGCACAATGTATATTTAACAGCCTGCCTATTCACGCTTTTCTAGTTGAAAGGCCTTTTTTTCCTACCTGCTGTCTTTCTATTTGATTGTTTTCAAGGTAATTGATTACTACTAATGTTTTCTTGATCATAAAACTATAAATGCTTTATTCTTTTCTGCAACAATTTTAAAATGGCAAATGGTAAATTTGATGTGCATTGTGTAATACAGACAAAAGCCCATCTTGACTTAGCTCCAGGAAGAATTCTGTCTCAAAGTCCTGTAGGATACTTCAGCATCAGGAAATGTAATTTGCTGGGCTCAATTTATAGCTTTAAACACTACTGACCTTTTAAGGGTACCAGGAACTTTGTGCTCTGACTGGCATAGAAGACTACTGCAAATAACACGAGTCTTACATGGCTTTTCTGTACTTTCTTTGTATGCCTATGCCAATCAGAGTTGAATGATAAAGTTCACTTCATTTTTTCTGTGTGTGATTGGTTTTTGGCTAGGTCAAAAAGGTGCAAAGTTAAGAGTCTAGGAAACATTTTAATTTTTAAATATCTTATTTTCCCAAACACTTGTTTTTTATACTGACTTAACCCATTTTGCTAAAACAGGGAATATCACTAAAATTCAGGATGGGAGTGGGAATGGCAGCGAGAGGTGGACATTGTGTGCAGTGACACTCAGAATGTTCAGAGTTACTGTCATGAAGTGATACAATGGCTTATAATAAAACAGCAGCTGTTAGCACTGCTGCTGGTTTTATCTACACTTAAAAAGCATTGCCATTCTTCCAAAGGGGAGTGATGTAACTTCAGAGAAATGTTTCGTTCAATTCTTTTTATTTTTTTCCCTTTAGATAGGACATCTTTTTTCTCCCAAATCCTTCAAACTTAACACTTTTTAAAAATTGACTTAAGGGTAAATGACTTGTACTTATTTTACATCTTCTGTCTGATGTTTGGTGTGAAAATGCGTTTAGTTGTATTGGGTTTAATACGTTGAATTTGCTTCAACATGTAATTTGTATTCTTGTTTGCTGTGAAAACTGGACCTAATTACTGTACATTCTTGCATACTTAATTTTTGGATCTAACAGTTATTTTCTTATTAGTCACCGTGATGAGTTGCCTACATTCAGAAACATGTGAAAGGGATTTTTTTTTTTACTATTAATATCAGTGTCACTTGTGTTTCTGAAGAGTAAAAGCTGCTTTCATTTCAAGTTTTGAATTAGCAAATAAAGAGTTGCATTATTTATTGGCATGAATCTTGCATAAAGTATGCCCTCCAAAATTCTGTTATTTAAATTCCCCAGTTAATGTGGTTACTAAGCACATAAGTAGGTATTGTGACTTTTAATAGGAAAAAACTTGAACTGAAATGAAATTGAAAACTGAGGTAGATCATCTGTTCCAGAAAACTAGTATATGTCTAAAAACTGTGATGAAATGTAGTTTAAGGTGGTCTCCTTCCAGCGGGAATTGTGCCAGGAGCCTTATCTTTGCTCATGCTATAAAATAGTAGTGTGATGCTGACACGTGTCATTGCAATGGTTCATTGGGATGCTTTTAGTTTCCCTAAGAATTTAAGTTGGTACCAAAAAAAAATGGATCAATAGATCTAAGATCCATTTTGTTCTGAAGAACAGAACTTGGTTTCTGAAGAACAAAATCAGCAAATCAAAAAATTAAGCCTTAGGATTGCTATGTACAAAACTTGAGCTGAAACAGTTAAAAATAGGACACTCAATCTGTGAATGAATGTACTGAATAAGTTGACTTAATTTTTTTTGCAGTAAATTTCAGTATTTAAATATCTAAGTTGCTACCTATCTTAACCACACTTTGGTGTCCAGGGATCTTTCAATGTTTGATAGTGGCTGTGCTTAACCCTTCCTAGGTAATGTACAATCACGCTATTGCAGTTATTCATACGTAAATTTTAGTGTAAAAGGGAAGATATAACTTGTTGCCTTGCAATTCCTCTCATTTCAGACCCAGTTTATCCAGTAAATAACCCTGCTGGCTGCTATGCCAACGGTCAGATCCAGGCTCACGGAGACCGCTGGCGAGAGGACGACTGTACTTTCTGCCAGTGCATCAACGGAAACTCGCACTGTGTGGCGACAGCCTGTGGGCAAAGCTGTCTCAATCCTGTTAAAGTCCCCGGGGAGTGCTGCCCGGTGTGTGAAGGTAAGATTGGTGTTACCTCCGCTATGCTTGCTTGGCTGCTGCTTTCCTGGAAATTCCTCGTTTACCTTTACAAATTTGGAGGATTGAAGTAGCAGGCACAGCATTGCCTGTGAGTGAATAAACTAGCGAGAAAAAAATAAGCGTGGTTTGACTACGCCTGTATGTGGCAGTGCCTGATGCTCTTCTGGCCCAAAAGAGTATAGTAAGAGATTATTTAAGAACAGCACTTTTCACTAATTTTAGTTTTGCTTAAAGCTTATTAATAAATATAGAAGTCAGAAGATCAAAATGTTCATCAGCTGGTATTACTGATAACTGGATTATTCCTGGTTTATTACTCATCAATGTCATTTAGTTACAACTAAAAAATCCTTTGCCCAAATTATTTCAGGGAAACTTGCAAAGGATGATACTATCTGGGAGGTGCATTTTAAAAATGCAGTTTTCGTTACCTTGTGGAAATGCATGTACCTTGTATAACTGACTTGAGTTTTAACTGAACTGTACAGCAAATGCTTGCCCAGCTTGGCAACAGAAATGTTTCAAACTGAGACGTATAATTTATTTTTTTTAAATAATGTATATAGGTATGTACATTCAGAGTTGTTTTTCATGGAGTAGTTGTTCGTTATGAAAAACACCAGACTGTTAAGTTTAGAAAAGGTTAATCTAGATCTGTCTTCAGTGCCATCTTCATGGTGTATAAATGCTTGTGATTGCTCGGTGAGCTACCACTTATGTTCTTCCCATTCCAAATTAGAAAGCAAAATTAATTTTGTGTAACTGTGTCTCGGGACCCTTCTTAGGTTGCAGTATCCATCCAATTTCACTGGGATAGTTACTTTTTTAGGACAAATCTGAAGAGCATGAAGAATTCTTACAGGTGTGCTTTCATTCCGAAATTTGCATTGCAAGAGATAAAGTCTGATGATGTATAAAAGCTGACAGTGAATTGTAGAGAGTTGCTACTTGCACTGAACTAATTCTACGATGAGGGAGCAGGTGCTTTTAAACCCAAGTGCTTTTAAACCCAAGTGATCCCCTCATGTTGGATATCAGAGTTACGTGCAGGCAAACTTGGGAAGGTAGTACAGAGAGAGGGAGGTTGGTGGAAGTATTTTCTGTATGTTGGGGCAGGTTTTTTTTCCTCCAATGAGAGAAGGATGGACAAATGTCTCTGTTTTACTGTTCCAGATAGGAGAAGATGGATGAGAGATAATTGGATTAAATGCTTATCTATATCAGACTGACATAATTATGATGAAGCGTGGGAAGCAAACCCAGGAGAGAGCGTAGGCTTCCATCATTCATTACAAAAGGTTGCAACATAGCCCAGCTGGTCCTTCATTAACGTAGCGCATTAATGCCTTTTCATGGCTTTCAGGACACAAATTAGCTCATCTGGACTGGGTTAGGTAATTCAGTGTTATAGCACGTTTTTACTCGTGGAAGCAGAACTAGCTAACAACTACTTAATTCCATAAAATTTGGGGGGTTTTGTTGTTGTTGGGAGTGTGTAATGTTAGATTACACGTACAATACAAATGATGTTAAGTAGATCAAGACTGACACAATAGCACCATGGAATCAATATTTAAATGAGATTCTTATGTCATCTTAATTATATTTTCTTAGAAAACTATCTGACTTGTTATTTTGTTTGTCATGTTAGCTGTTGTATGATGTACATTTAATTGTAGTCACCTGGTTTTTAGTGTGTCACCTGGAGGAGAGTGATATTGAATGGCATTTTGAGTGACTTCCTAAATTATAAGCTTAAAAGCCTCACATTTGGCTTGGTGTTTCTTTGATAGCACATACTGCCAAGTAAACAATCAATGGGTAACAAAATCACATGAATGACGTAACCAGCAATTAGTGGAAGTAGTTTTAGTTCATGCTAGGAGGAGATTTGGGCATACTTGGGTACCAGTGGTCTGAGGGTACCTGAGAACAGACTTGCATCCTGTGTTCTTTCTTCCTTTCCATCTCCCACAGCAAACAAACCCAAACAAACCATACAATTATGCTCCATAATACCATTATTTAATTTCAGGAGTATTTCAAGGATCAGAAAATCAGGACTGTTACAAGTCACCAATGAGTTCAGATGCTAGAACCTAAGATATAGAAAACTGAGTTTGTAAGAAGCAGCTTTGGATGACTTTATAAGAAATTAATCAGCATTCAGATAAGACTTAACAATTTTTCTTGTAATTATAAGTAATGAAAAAAACTCTGAGAAATGAACCAGTCACAGGTACTTTTAAACTTAAAGTTAGGTTTTGGGGTATCAAATGAGCTCAAGGCTGCTATGCCTTCTGACTAGCAACTGGAATAAAAATATCTGCATATATTAGAGAGCAAAGAGTTACCAACTTTGAAATTTGTTTGTTGTGGAGACCTCTGTGTGTCTTTCTGAATCTCTTTAACATTTTTCTTTCATAGTTTGCATTAAGAAAATCACAGAGCATTAGGAAAAAATAGTAATTTGTTAATATTGGCTGTCTGCATACTGTGTATTTTAAAATTATTTTTCAAAAAAGCAAATGTTTGAGCTGATGGCAGCAGGGACGTGTATTAGCCATAGACTTATGGCCTGCCTCCAAGGTAAGCTATCATGATGTGTCTTAAGCCTAAGATCTGATATTTAGTAGGGTTTCTTTTTGAAGTTTGATTCATTGGTACAAAAAAGTAGTCTGCTTTCTTTGCAATACAGCTGTTGCTTACTAACCAACTAGGCAAAGGGCTTCTTTACATTCCTGTTCTCTGGTTTTCTCCTTGTAGTAGGACTGAAGTGGGGAAGTATGCTGCGGGAAGACAGGTCTTAAAAACATTGCTTCCTTTGCACATTTTACTGTCCTGAATGTTGGTTATGTACTTTAAACAGCAACATGGTCCTATCTGAAATGCTGGGGTTTTTTTCTGTCATCTTTCAGCCAGCTGACATCTCTGTTCTCTTAACCGGGCAGGCTGCATGGGTCTGTGCTCCTTCCCCTTTTAAATCAGCTTCTCATTCATTTTCCTGAGGATCACTTCTTTTGATGAGGTTCTGCTCCTGATACTCAATGTGTTGTTGGTGACCTGCAGGGGTGGTGGGATCGGGGAAAATGTGGTCCTGGCTGGGAAGCTGGATGACAAATCAATCCCTTGATTTTGATGATATTAATGAAAAAGATGTGCAGTATATTTACTGAAGATCTACAAGCAATAAGATACATTCCAGGCACAGTTTTTCCAAAGAGGAATTAAAAACCATCAATGTCAGCCATATAATGCTTCTCTGCACACTACCCCATTAAATGTACGTATCTGTAGTGTAACCTTGATTTTGCAGTGTAGTATATGAGCAGAAGTGTTGACTGAGTTGAAGCTCGAATATTAGTTGCACTAACAGCTTAAACCTACAGGCCCGTGCTCTGCAGTCTGTTCTCCATTCTTCCCCGCTCTTTATCTTCCACTGTTCAGAAAAGAAAACCAAAATCCTTATCTAGTGTGGGCTAAGTTCTGGGATCACTAATGTTATATAGTATCATATTTTCAACTATGCAAGCTATTCAGGAAAGGTGTTCAAGGGAGAAAGCAGTGTTAACTTAAGAATACATTCAATAAATGGGCAGAATTAAGGTAAACTTAGGTGATTTTGAGATAGAAGTTTATTAGTGGTTGTAAGGACAAACATACCTCATTCTACATTTTTGTTTTGAATGACTTCCAGTTCCTGCTCACATCTCAACTCGTTCTGTAAAATGTTCAATCTGTAGAGAATATACTATATTGAAATAATGTTCTTTATATAGATCAGTTTAAACTGACCATGTATAGTAATTCCAAAGTTGTATTATATGATTTTTGTCTTGAATATATTTTACTTTTCTGCTCTTACACATATTGTATGTTAACATTTTTTAAGCTATAGCTCTTATTTTTTGCATGAAGTACTTCATTGGTTTGGAGACTAGTGCAGAATGTAGCAAACAATTACTTTTCTTCTAGAATCTTAACTATGCTTTAGCTCTAAAGCAAGAAGACAACTGATGCTTGTTGAAAACTTATATTTTTGTCGATTTAGTTGCTAATGGACCACTTAAAGCCCATGTTTCCATGTAAAAATAGGCGTCAGATCAAGAATAGTAATAGAGTAGCTTTCTATGGTTATCACTAGTTTTTAAGTATACATTTATTTCTCATCAGACTTCTGTTTACCTGTACAAGAGAACTCACTTGCTCACAGCCAGCTTTGCGTGAACTTATTTTAAGAATATTAAATGCCAGCTCTTTAGTATGCAAAACAAAATGCTTAGTCAAAGATGTTTGTCATTTGTTTTGCTTTGAGTGTTGAGCGGTACAGTGGTTTGTGGGATGTGAAAGTGATGGACAAATTCTAATCAAAGCTACTAGTGTATCTGACCTCACTTCAGCTCATCCAGAGTAAATGTTTATTAGTATCAGTCACTTCTGAAGTTTCATCTCCGTCTTTGATCTAGATGCTGCCGCACCTACAGTTCTGCCAATTCAATTAAATTCCTGGCTGCTTTATATCCGTTTCAGTGAAGGAAATATCTATTCCTCTAGATAAGTTTACA